ATAAAAAAGTGAAGTTAGTTTAACCTGCTAATAGTAACTAGGAGTCTTTTTTGGGAGGAGTAAGTATGATCTAATAAAATACATCCTCCGTCCAAAAAAGTCATTCACGTATCAAAAAAACGGGTCCCTAGAAGTCCTTCTCATTTCTATTAAATATTTACTTTTACTCCTTACTCTTTTCATACCCTACCTATCACATATACTTTTTTTCTAATACTCTATAAACCACATATTATTTTTACCTATCACATCGAGAATATTTTTAAAAAATCAATACAAAATTATCCTTCCCTTATTTTACCACATTAGTCAATATTTTACCACATTATTGGATTTGATCTGGTCTCATCATATTGAATCTGATCTAATCTGATTGGATCTGGTCTGATATGATAAGATCTGGTGAGACCTTATTATATCTAGTCTAATCTTATCTAATCAGATTTTACTAAGAATAAGTAATAAGCAGAAAAATAAGTTCTACGGAACGGAGACTAGACAATATTGCCCCTCGACATATATACTCCGTATATAATTATATACTACGTATATATATATAGACACACACACCTCATATATATATATATATATATATATACGGAGTATATATGAAGACATTGCAATAACCAATCCAATTTAATAATTACTCCGTATAATTGGTTAAACAAAATGAGAACAAATCAACAAACTCCTCCGATGATCATCAAAATGAAAGCCATGATGACCACTTCCATACAGCCTGCAGATGAGCTTCCTCAAGGTATACCAACACACATTTCGTCATTTTATTAATAAAACACAAATATAAAGTGTAACTTTTACTAGCTTGTTTCGAACATTTTTTTAAGATTATAAGTATGGTGAAAATTCGTTTTTTCAGATTAAATCCAAAACTTGTTTTGGATCAAAATTACTCATTTTTAGCTAAGAAATCATATGGTATGTTTGGAAACATGGATTTGGATTTCAAATCCGGATTTGACTCAAATTCCATGTTTGGGAAACTTAAGCATTTCGAATTTGGATTTGAATCAAATTCTTTACATTCAAAACAAAGCATAATTCGAAATCCATGCATCTCCCCTAGTCATTTGAAATTCAGGATTTCAAATTTTGGAATTGAAATGCATGAATTGAAATGAAATGCTAGTTGCCAAACACTACCTAATAGATTTACTAAACGACACTTATTGAGTTAATAGTATTGAAAGAGCGAGACTTGTAATCGACAAATGAAAATTTAATTTGAAGGGTATCCCACAAGTAGGGAGTCTCCATCGGGAAGGAATAAGCTTAAAAGTATCATCAGTTCAGGGGAAGCTTCAAGCAGCAAGCCAAAAGGGCGGGGCTGGTAAATAAGCCTTAATTTTGGATAAAAAAAAATATTTTTCACAAAATTATACTCCGGTATCTGTGTTTCTTGTCCTAAAATTTCTTTCTCCTTCTATTAATAAATGCTTTTAGCTTACTAATTATTCTTATACTTGTCATATCATATATACCTTTCTATTATTAATACATTCATTATATTGCATTCTAATTTTAAGTATCAAATCAAGAATAATTTGAGAAAATATACAGAAATATCTTTTTCTTAAATTATAAAAGTCAGAAAAGAGAGTGGCTTTTAAGGATGGAGGGAGTATTTAATGCTACTTCCGTTCCTAAATATTCATTCAATTTAAATTTATAGAGTCAAACTGAACAAATTTTGATCATTAATTAAATAATTTTTTTATTTGATATTAGTAAAACATTACTTTATTATATTTGTGTTATAATACTTTGATTACCCTAGTGTTTAATACTTCCTTTTTGGTAAACAATTCCTAGCTATTTTGACTTATGCAAGATCTATTTGTGTAATTTAACTTTTTAATTATATATATTTAACATCAAAGAAAAGAAGAGAGACAACTCATTTAAATAACATACTCCCTCCGTCCCTAAATAAAGTTCTTCTTTCGTTTTTTCTTTGCCCCTAAATAAATTTCTCTTTTCCCTTAAAAAACCCCTTTTACCCCTTACTTTTTCATACCCTACCTATCACATCATACCTTTTTACTAACACTCCCCTGCAAGTGATAACTAGCCTGACCTAGTTAGCACTTAGCACTTGGACAAACGGGTCTAACATCTCAATCTCTTATATAGCTAGCCCACACAACTGGCGGTGACATCTCAATCTCTTTTTAGCCAACTCAGCCCAAACCACAGACGGGTAGCTCATTTTTGCTAAACCCACATCCAAACAACCAGGAACAATCAAACCCGGACCGGACCTGCTCTGATACCATGTTAAAATATAATTAGAACTGAACTTGGATGATTTGAGTACAAATAGATCTGCTATTTATAATAGCTACGAGACTATGACCTAATTACGAGCCCAACAAGAATGAGCCCGTTAACAACAAACCCTAATGCATTCCCTAACACTCCCCCTCAAGTTGAGCATGAGGTTAACGAATGCACAACTTGGACAATTAAAACAAAACTAAGACTAAAAACAACTTGATAAACAACTTGAACTTGATCTGCTGTGACAATAATGAACGAAGGTGACCGGCCCTGCAAACGAACAATAAATTTTGATGACGAATGACTCCCACGCGGTGACACGGGGATGACTAATAAGCATCCCAAACTTGGAAGCCATGCTGCTGGACTGAGGCGCGACTATGCGACCAACCTCACAAACAAATATGTCGAACTGAGGCGCGACTATGCGACCAACCTCACAAACATGTCAAACATACAAATGGTTGCACTTGAACATACCAAATAACAACAAAAAACAAAGTCGCCAATAAGGTCGATCAAAACTGGCTCTGGTTGAAAACCTTCTTCGTGATGTAGGAGCACAGAATAAACAAATTCAAATAATCACTTTGGTAGACTAACAGTGGCATGCTGATCAAAGATAGAATTGAGCAGCAACAATAATTTGGGACTTTGGTACCGACGGAACCTATCAAAAGCACTGCCGGGGAAGACATCTTCAGCGGCGGCCAAACTTTGACTCTTGTCTAGGCAGATCTGAATTTAATAGCAGAACAAATACTCGAGACAGTTTTTTTTGAAAACCTCGAGACAGATTTTGGTTGAGAGATTAGATACGTCACCGTCGCCGGACAAACCACCGGCGACGGCAACAACGGAAGCAACAGATTAGAGCAGAATAGGGTTTAGGTTCCCAGGTTGGCTCTGACACCATGTTAAAATATAATTGGAACTGAACTTGGATGATTTCATTACAAATAGATCTGCTATTTATAATAGCTACGAGACTATGACTTAATTACGAGCCCAACAAGAATGAGCCCGTTAACAACAAACCCTAATGCATTCCCTAACAATTTCTTTCATAAGATCTCTTTCTCACCAGAACCAATTTATGTGTGTGTGTGTGCGCGTGCGTGCGTGCGTGCGTGCGTGGGTGTGTGTGTACCTAAACATGAACTCTCTAATAATGTTTCATGTGATTTAATTTGTGCATGCAGTTGTGACCATGTATGTGAGGCAATATATAATTCCATACGCTGTCTCACCAACAATTTTTGTCATGGCCGTGAGCCAGTATAGAAGGTGCCAAAGGGGCAAATGGGCAATGCTTACTGTTTGGACGAGGCTGTCTAATAATTAATAGTCATGATACTCTATTAAAATTCAATTTTATTAGTTCCTTCCGGCCAGGCTTACTGTTTGGACGAGGAAACAACAGAGTTATCCTTTTCTTTTTTCGTTGCTGTCGTAAACCTTTTCCACCAGACCTTTTGCTGGGATTTGTTTTTAGTTTGTACTACGTCGTGCAAGTTTCAGAATAATAATCGTATTCGTCTATGTTAGACAATAATACTAATAATACTTCTTGTAGTATTGGTTATGGTAGTGTTTCATTATTAGTCAGTTTCCTAATTCTATTTGTGGTAGATGTTGTATGTTAGTTAGTTTCCATTCTCTATTCCTAGTTGTGTTAGGAGTCTCTCTTATATATATACTCTATCATGTACTCCATAATTCAATGTGCAATATTAATATCCCAATATTTCAACATGGTGATATGAATATCGTATCGGATAGGGAAGAACTTCGAGCGTTCTTCAAGCTCCAAGAATATGAGGTAGAGAAAGATGGAAAACTTCGAGCGTTTCCGGACTCCAAGAGAATAGAAGAGGAGATTAGGGTTTTGATATTTCTTTATTGATTCCTTTGTAATGATAAAAGGGATACAATATATAGAGATGGAGGAACACTCTAATGACCTAATGGGCTCGGGCCCGTACTAAACCCTAATGTATAGAATATTAATAAAAAATAATAAATAATACTAATTAATAAATAATATAACTAATATATTATCATATCATTCCCACCCCCTTAAAATCCACCTTGTCCTCAAGGTGGAGGCTCCTACTCATGCTTTAGGAACAAAGAAAGAATGCCGAACCAAAGGAGCAATCCACTCTTTGAATCTTCAACCATCGTGGATCTTGGAGCAAAGTGATGGAAAGATGAGACGGGGCGCAGAACATATGTAGTTGCTCTCGGTGGAATCAGGTGCTCCGTCTTGACCACATCGACAAGCTCAAACAACTTGATGGTGTCAATCAGCATAGGTGAGTGTGCTTGTTTACCATCTGCATCTGTCACTTTGTCAACAGTTGTTGGAATATCATATTCTGCAATGACCACACCAGCTGAGGTAGAAAATTCCTGAAAAGTAGGATCTGGCTTGTAGTTCTTAGCAACATCTGCATGCTTACGATCATCATCAATTACTTCCACAGTGTTGGGCTTCCGCTTCCTCTCCCCCAATTAGAACGCAAATGGATAATCTTTGGCCGAGACTTCTCTCTGGCGATGAGCTGCTACAGTAGCCGTCACCATAGCCATCGACTTTGAGCTCTCATCTGTTGGTGTCTCCCCTCTTTGAGAATAGATTCTGCATCCTCATTCTTGGGCGAGCATATCTATCGGTGATTTTGCCCTTTCGCGCTCTAGGCTGAGAACGGTGCCCAATTGCTCTCTCGCCTTACTGTTCATCATCTTCTCCAATGACTCTTGGCCGTCTTCACTGATTTTCCCCTGCTGCTATGGGTTCTGGCAAAGCTCAGAGTGGTAAGAAAACTAAGAAGAAGGTTCCCAAAAGCCCCAGGAAGAAAGGGGCTGAAGAAGATGCTACGAAGGTCTCCAGCTTGGCTACGGATGTAGCTATGCAAGACCTTGAGAAAGAAAGGGCCCAGACTGCTTCTTCCTCGTCTGCTACGTCCCCTCCTTCTGTGGAAGTTGTTCCTGACATTGCCCCTCAGGTAGATACAACTAGTGCGCAGAACACCCCCCAGGTGCTTGACAAAATGCCTGAACCAGAGAAGGTTGCTGCCAAACCTGTTACCTTTGCTGACCTCTTCAAAGGTAATAGGGACCCTGACCAAGGTATGATTTTGAAGCAATATGATGTTGGTGAAGGCGTTCTACATATTCCGGACTCTGTTATTAAACAGTGTTGGGCTTCCCGTTATCTTCATTCATGGCTTCAGATACACTGCTCACCTCATCTTCACCACGTGGTCCAGTGCAGAGTTTCGTTGCTCCAAGTGCATCCTCCATAGTCGGGGTAGGTAGTGTGGTAGTGTCTGAAATACCTAAGTTTATACCACAAGAGAATTCGACAGTGATACGTTGCACACACAAAACAGAGTATGTACCACATAGAGAGGTATGACACACGCAGTGTTCCAACACCCACACAAGCAAGCAAAAACAGACAGTAACGTAACAGAAGTAAAACACACACACAATATGTTTACGCAGTTCGGAGCTGAATCTCCTACGTCTGCGAGGCCCACGTCCGTGTAACAGCCCTCCACTAGATCATCATAAGTTTTTACACAGATCAACCACAGACTTTACTTTCTAGAAGTTTGACTGCAAAAACTACTTACGAATGACCTCAGGTACTAAACAGAGATAGCACCTGTCTCCTTGGCTTGTTACACCCACACCTTGGTTTCTTCCTAGGACGTGTTGATCAGCCTTGTCTCCAGTATCACAGTACTCACCACCTGAAACATTCTTCCTTCTTACGGGTGTGTGTCACAGATATCTGACAACTTGATTCTGCAAACTTGAGTTCGCAACTCAGGACCTCACGCTTATGATGAACAATGTTGCGCAAGTTCGTTGTAGGATTAACTCTCTCTTTAGTTTGCTGGTTCACTCGTATTATTCTGCCTCTCTCAGTCGTCCAACTTCTTCTTCTCTGGCGTTATGTATTTATAGTGCATCTACCAACCCTAGCACATTACTGGAATGATTCCTTGCGCTTCAGAGATACTCGGAGCCACGTACACGCCTTTGACAGGGTTTCAATCATTCCAATCTGCCCACACTCCTTCTGAAGATAGACTTGTGAAGATGGTTATTAAAATCTCCTAGCGCACCCAAAGTCCTAACGCCAGATGTCTACTTTGATTTTAAATAGGATGACAAACCTAAATGCTACAACACCTACCAAAACATATTTCTCAACCTAATGTGGTTGTGTTTGCAAAAAATGATGCCAACCAAAAACCGGGGAACTAACACTATAAGGAGCGAACTAACAATCTCCCCCTTTGGCAATTTTTTGACAAACACAAGCACACTAACTCAGCCGTTCTCTGAACCTCTTCTCCCCCTTTTGTAAAAAAAATGCCAAAGGCACCAAGAGTATTTTATTATATGGGAGAAGAGTAATATTCAAAAAACTTATTAGCAAGAGTGTGTACAGCATTGAAAACAATAGACATGATAACAAGGTCATCCTATTTAAAACCAACTGCGTAGAGCAGTGAGGAGACCAGGACGAGATGAAAAAACAAACTGCACAGGATGAATATGCAAGATCACAGTAAGCCCAGTAAGCTTCATCCATAACCAAAAGCACTAAGAGATTCAAGAGCTCAGAGATAGCCCCTTGACAAAAACACCTTCTGTAGCAGCAGTTTCCAAAAACAAAGAGACAATTCCATCACAGCAGAAACATACACCGTTCCATACACAGCATAAAAAGAGAGCATAATCAACAAAAAAGTTCAGAACCCCACACTGTAATTAGTCAAATTTGTGCAATTCAGAGTCAAAATCAGAATCCCCCTCATCATCATTGTTCTCCTCATCTCGTGCAGACCCTGCATCCTGATCCTCCTCTGTGTCCTGCTCCCCCTGACTGGTAGATTCCTCAGTCCCCAAGGTTTGCTCCCCCTGTGTGTTTGTTCCTGTTGCAGCATGTTGTTTCCCTTTGAGCAGTGAGAGAACTTCAAGTAGTTTTTGTTTTCCAGCTCTGGCCTTGTTGAGTGTAATCTCATGTTGATCAATTTCCTCCTGCAACAGCTTGATCTCCTCTTGTATGAAGGCAACGGTTGATGACTCTGAAGAAGAGGGTTGTGCAGTTGATTGATTTAGACTTGCAGCTAGATCATTAAAGTGCTTCCCTTCAAAGTGGCGAGCATCAACTTACAGCAGTGGGGGAACTGGTTCTTCTTCTTCACCTGCTGCATCTGTGGTGAAACCCTGAGATTTTAACAGTTGAAAGATCAGTAGAGGGTATGGCAAGCCATTTGTGTTGGTTTTTGCCTTTTCAGAGGAGAAGCTCATGACTTGTTCAAAGATGATTCTTCCCAGATTCAGTGGTATACCATGCTTGATCTTATAGAGTAGGGAGGCTATACAAAGAGGAAACGTGTTCATGTGTGTGATAGGCAACCAATGATATGCAGCCACCCTAAGCAATATGGCATAAGAGCTTTTTAGAATGGAGGATGGGACTTTGGACTTTGTGGTCTGTGATTTTCGTTCTCCATTGGTTAAGTCAGACCAAATCAGACTCTCACTCACATTTTGGTCAGGAGAAGATGGCTTGATGCCAAGAAAGTGGTTGATTTTGGCTGGGGAAAATTCAAAGTGTTTACCTCTCACAAAGACTCGGTGGTATGAGGGGTCAGTCATGATGCCACAGTTTTCTGACAGATTACAATAGAACTCTTGAATCACTCTTCGCACATAAGACCCAGACAAGGTTACAGACTTAAGCAGATTGCTCTTTTGCAGAACTGGTACCAGATTAGTTTTCTTTTCAAAATCTTTCACATCAATATTCCTTTGGGGAAGAATGTTTTTCTTTGAAATGGCAGTCATGAAAGAACTAGCAATAGAAGAAACAAAGATTTGTTTAGGGGACTTCCCTATCTTGACGATCTTTTCTGGCTTGGTGTTCAGCTTCTTATCACTGAGATCTGTTTCTGATGAATGTTTGGTACGTGAATGTAGGACAGGGTTTTTTGAAATGTTAATGGCACTTGTATTGTCGCAATATAAAGGAATGGTATCATGATGTACTCCATAATCAGTCAGCATTGATTTCATCCATAGAAGTTGTGCACAACAACTTCCTGCTGCAATATACTCAGCTTCAGCTGTAGAGAGTGACACTGAGTTTTGTTTTTTGCTAAACCATGCAACCAAATTTCCTCCTAGGTAAAAACAGCCTCCAGATGTGCTTTTGTGGTCATCAATGTTTCCTGCCCAGTCTGCATCACTGTATGCTGTGAGATGTGTTGAAGCTCCTTTTGAGTACCAAAGACCCATGTTGTGTGTGCCTTTGATATATTTCAGTATTCGCTTTACAGCCTTCAGATGCGATTCTTTAGGCTTGGCTTGATATCTAGCACAGACTCCCACACTGTGGCATATGTCTGGTCCGCTTGCCGTGAGATACAACAAGCTGCCAATGATTCCTCGGTAGTAGGTTGCATCAATGTCCTTCCCTTCGTCATCTCTGCTAATTTTTTCATGGGTTGGACAAGGTGTTCTATCACTTTTACAGTCACTCATTTCATAGTTCTTCAGCATATTCTGAGCGTACTTTGTCTGTGAGATGAATATCCCATCACTGGTATGCTTGATTTGTAGCCCCAGAAAAAAAGTCAATTCCCCGATCATGCTCATTTCGAATTCTTTCTCCATAACTTTTACAGATTTTTCAATATGAGCGTGTCATGTTGATCCAAAAATAATATCATCAACGTAGATCTGTGCCACCAAGATATCTGTTCCATATTTGATATAGAACATTGTGTTATCCACTCCTCCTCTGGTGTAGCCTTGTTCTGCCAGATATGATGTAAGTCTGTCATACCATGCCCGTGGTGCTTGCTTCAATCCATAGAGTGCTTTTCGCAGCTTGTATACATGCGTTGGATTCTTTGTGTCTTCAAATCCCTTGGGCTGAGCTACGTAAACCTCTTCTTTTAGATACCCATTCAGAAAAGCAGTTTTCACATCCATCTGGTATAGCTTCATGTTCCATACGCATGCCATGCTTATGAGAATGCGTATTGATTCCAGTCTTGCCACCGGTGCGAAGGTCTCTTCAAAGTCTATTCCTTCTACTTGAATGTATCCCTGAGCTACTAATCTGGCTTTATTTCTAATCACCTTGCCTTCCTCATCAGTTTTGTTGCGATAGATCCACTTAGTTCCTATTATGTTCACATCATCTGGCTTTGGAACCTGTTCCCAGACTTGATTACGTTCAAACTGGCCCTGCTCTTCTTGCATTGCGTTAATCCAGGCTTCATCTTTTAATGCTTCTTTTACATTCCTGGGCTCAATCTGGGATGTATAGTATGCATTAATCATTTCAACGTAGTCTACCTTTTTTTTCCTGGTACGCATGCCTTCTTGTGGATCTCCTATGACATTCTCTATGGGATGATTCTTCTGAATGTGTGTTGGAACTTTATGCACCTCTGGTGATTCTGACTGAGTCTCTTCGTCATTCTGTTTGTCAGTTTTTGATGGTGCAGTTACTTCTTCTTCTGGTGATGCTTCAGAGTGTGTTATACCATCTTCTGAGTCCTGATGACCCTTTGTCAGTGCTCTGTCATCTATAATGACATTTATGGATTCCATGATAGATCTTGTACGTTTGTTTAGTACTCGATATGCCCTGCTGTTTGGTGAGTACCCAACAAAAATTCCTTTATCACTTTTTGAATCAAACTTCCCTTTGTGTTCTCTATCCCGAAGAATATAACACCTTGCTCCAAATATGTGAAAGTGTGCAATGTTTGGTGTCCGTCCTTTCCATAGTTCATAGGGAGTTGCACATGTACCACTTCTGATGTACACTCGATTTATTGTGTAACATGCTGTGTGCACTGCCTCAGCCCAGAGATTGTCACGCAGGTTTTTTGTATGCAGCATGGTTCGAGCCATCTCTTGTACATGTCTATTTTTCCTTTCTGCCACCCCATTCTGTTGTGGGGTCTTTGGTGCAGAAAATTCATGAAGTATTCCACAGCTGTCAAAGTAGTCGCTAAACGGTTGGCTGTCAAACTCTCCTCCATGATCACTCCTTACTCGGATAACTTTCTTGATTTTCAGCTGCTTCTCGTTCTGAATTTTGTTGCATAAGGAACTAAATGCATCTAGAGCATCATCTTTGTGTCTCAGAAAGCTTACCCATGTGAATCTGGTGTAATCATCTACGACTATGAGTACAAACCTTTTCCCTCCTATGCTCTCAGTTTTCATAGGTCCAAACAGATCAATATGTAGCAATTCCAGTGGACATTTTGTGGACTGGAATACTTTGACTGGGTGCGTGTTTCGCGTCTGTTTCCCTTTTTGGCACGGTCCACAGATCTCTCCTTCAGTTTTAGTAATTCTTGGCAATCCTCTAATAGCTCCAGAGTTTGAAAGTGAGATAAGATCTTTGTAGTTTAAATGCCCCAGCCTATAATGCCAGAGTTTTGCATCTCGTTCTGTCGCTGAATAGCACAGGATGTTTGGTATAACTTTGTAACAGTTGTCTGCTGTTCTATCCTCTTCTAAGACGGTTTGTTTGCTCTTATCTCTTACTCGGCATTTCTGTTGTGTGAAGAATACTTCCAGCCCCTGGTCACAAATCTGACTTATACTGAGAAGATTTACTTGCAGTCCTTGTACCAACCACGCATTTTTAATAGGTGGTAACCCTGACACATTTAGTGTACCACTCCCAATGATTTTGCCTTGTGCTCCACCACCAAACCGTACACTTCCTTGCTCATTTGGCTTCAGGTCTGTTAGATTCTCCTGATCTCCTGTCATGTGATGCGAGCACCCACTGTCTAGCAACCATTGATCTGGAGTGACTCTGTAGCAGGTGTTTGCTACAAGTGCATATTGTTTTGGAATCCACACTTGTTTCATCTCTCTGTTCTGAAACATACTCAGGCTTCTTTTTCCTTTGATGTTTGACCATTTGCAATGTCTTCGAATGTGCCCCCAGCCCTTGAACTTGTAACATTGATAAAATCGTGTGTTCTTCCATTGAAAACCTGACTGTGAGCCTCTGATGTGTGGTGCAGCAGTCTCTATCTTGCTCCCCTCTGTTTCCTTGACAAACTTGATTTTATCCTGTTTGGTGTTATCTCTCTTTTGAGTGTAGTAGCCAATACATGTCCTGTCATCTGGTGTCTTAGACATTACTGAATGATGATCCAATGGTTTTGCTCCTGCAATGATCATCCATTTTTGATAATATTTGAGTTGATTTAGCTCAAAAATTAAATCTGATTTTTCACCTTCCAATCTCTCAATGATGAGTTTGGATTTTTCTGTCAAGCTCCTCAATGTCTCGACTTCAGATATCAGTTGACCCTTTTCTTCAACATTCCTTTCGTTAATTTTCACCAATTGAGCCCATTTCTTCTACAGTTCTTCCAGCTCTTGTGAGGAACTCTTCTCATCCTCCAGATTGACTAGTGATGTGAATGCACAATTTGATTCACCGAAGTCACTCTGTTCTTCTGATTCTTCATCACTCCACGTAGCAGAAAAAGCCTGTCTCTTTTTCTTCAGGTTGTTTGCACAATCCATCTGGATGTGACCATATCCTCCGCACTCGAAGCATAGGGGTCCCTTCTTCTTTTGAGTATCACGATTCTCAACAGCTCTGGGTTCTCTAAATCTGGACTCCCTCACATAGGGACCTTTTGAAGTGCCTTCTTGCCTCTGGCCGCCTCGCTTTTGCACCCACTGTTTCTTGAACTGTTTGGTGAAAAGAGACAGCTGCTCTTGAAATTCTTCATCAAATGTTGGATCATGCTCAAAGTCATCTTCAGTCTCTGTCCCAGTGAAAGCCACCTGTTTTTCTGGTTTCCTTCTTTTGTTGTCTTCTGTCATATCTAACTCTATGGATTCCAATATGCCCATGAGAGCATCAAGTGTCATGGTCTTGATGTTATGTGAGCGTCTGATTACTTTGACATCCATATCATATTCCTTAGGAAGAGACCTAAGGACCTTTAGAACCAGTTTATTTTCAGCAATAGGTTCATCCAATCGAGCAGCCTGATTTGCTATGTCTCTGACTCTTCCGTGAAAATCTGTGATTTTCTCTTTATCATCCATGCGCAAGTTTTCATATTGAGTCATCAGAATTTGATATTTTGCAGTCTTGACCTCCTCATCCCCTTCATGTGTTACTTCCAGTATATCCCAAGCTTCTTTAGCACTGTCACAATTTGAGATAAGCTTATACTAGGTAGAGTCAACTGCTCCAAATATTGCGTTGAGGGCCTTGTCATTGAATTCGGCTGCAATGGTTTCAGATCTGCTGTATTCCTCGAAAGGCTTCACTTTTGAGGTGGTTAAGTCATCCGAGTATTTTCTGGGCTCTGACCATCCTGTTTCAACACTCCTCCAGACTCCACCACCAAGTAATTTCAAAAAAGCTCTCATTCGACTCTTCCAGAACCCATAGTTGTGGCCACGCAGTAGTGGTGGACGCTGCACATTAGCACCTTCTTCCATATCTCCCATGATCAGGAGCTAATATCTTAAGCTCAACCGCTCTGATACCAATTGAAATACCTAAGTTTATACCACAAGAGAATTCTCACAATGATGCGTTGCACACACAGAACAGAGTATGTACCACACAGAGAGGTATGACACACGCAGTGTTCCAACACCCACACAAGCAAGCAAAAACAGACAGTAACGTAATAGAAGTAAAACACACACACACAATATGTTTACGCAGTTCGGAGCTGAATCTCCTACGTCTGCGAGGCCCACGTCCGTGTAACTGCCCTCCACTAGATCATCATAAGTTTTTACACAGATCAACCACAGACTTTACTTTCTAGAAGTTTGACTGCAAAAACTACTTACGAATGACCTCAGGTACTAAATAGAGATAGCACCTGTCTCCTTGGCTTGTTACACCCACACCTTGGTTTCTTCCTAGGACGTGTTGATCAGCCTTGTCTCCAGGGTATCACAGTACTCACCACCTGAAACATTCTTCCTTCTTACGGGTGTGTGTCACAGATATCTGACAACTTGATTCTGCAAACTTGAGTTCGCAACTCAGGACCTCACGCTTATGATGAACAATGTTGCGCAAGTTCGTTGTAGGCTTAACTCTCTCTTTAGTTTGCTGGTTCACTCGTATTATTCTGCCTCTCTCAGTCGTCCAACTTCTTCTTCTCTGGCGTTATGTATTTATAGTGCATCTACCAACCCTAGCACATTACTGGAATGACTCCTTGCGCTTTAGAGATACTCGGAGCCACGTACACGCCTTTGACAAGGTTTAATCATTCCAATCTGCCCAAACTCCTTCTGAAGATAGACTTGTGAAGATGGTTATTAAAATCTCCTAGCGCACCCAAAGTCCTGATGCCAGATGTCTACTTTGATTTTAAATAGGATGACAAACCTAAATGCTACAACACCTACCAAAACATATTTCTCAACCTAATGTGGTTGTGTTTGCAAAAAATGATGCCAACCAAAAACCGGGGAACTAACACTATAAGGAGCGAACTAACAGTGTCTTCCACCCTGTGAACAAATTTGTCTATAGCATTCTTTGGTGTCTTCTCAAAACAAATATAATCCAAATCATGTAGCGGAGCAAATCGAATCTTGAACTTTTCAACAAAATCCGTCCAACCATCAATTAAGTCACCACGCATACGCCAATTAAACCAAGCCAATGCAGAGCCCTCTAACATTGATGCCACACGGTTCAAACGATCAACTAAAGGAACGTCATAAAACTGGAAATACTCACATACCATAGCTAACCACTGCACGGGTTTGGTTCCGTCACATCTTGGGGGTAACGTTGGTGGAGAAGGTGCACCTGTTACTTTTTGTATAATACCCATTATGTTCGCTCTGAAAATTTGTAACTCAAAAGGAAATTATACACACTCCTTCGTCATACTCAATTTCCCCATAAAAAATATTTTCCAACAATCCAACAAGTTTGTCTAATGCACTGGTCGTCAATGAAATATAGGAGTCAGCCATCATGTCAACTCCACGCACAGAGAATTAATGGTGACAAACCAAATAAGAAAAGTCACTTACCAAGCAATTTTGACAACCAAATTAGTGGGCCGAAATATTACTCAAAAGTGCGAGTGGGCCGCACCAAAAATCACAAAGGGCTCCAATTGTATATTTGTATCTCCCAATTTACTGTGCTGGCACTCCAAATTGCAGCAAAGCCTTCTCTCTCTTTTTTTTTCGTGCTTGTCGTTGTGCAAATCAAGAAAACCTGGAAGCTGCTTAATATGGATGGAAACCGAATGAATTGCTCCGTATAATCCGAAGTATCTAAAGCCTCCCAATGCTCCAGGCACACAGCAATTTGACTCTCTGTTCGCGATTCAAGGCAGCGACGAGGGGCGCGGCAGTGAAGCGAATTCGGGTCGGCGGCAATGAATCTGGCTCACAACTCACAAGCACAACCTTTTCTAAATTAAATCAAAATTGGACTGGGGTAGGGGGTGAAAAATCAAAATGGCAGACGACAATAGATCTGGCCAAGGTTGGAGTTGAATCGCCCTTTGAGTTTACAGATGATTTACTTTTTTTGGAAGATCTCTCAATGAAAGCACCAATTGATATGAATATTGTATCGGATAGGGAAGAACTTCGAGCGTTCTTCAAGCTCCAAGAATATGAGGTAGAGAAAGATAGAAAACTTAGAGCGTTTCCGGACTCCAAGAGAATAGAAGAGGAGATTAGGGTTTTGATATTTCTTTATTGATTCCTTTGTAATGATAAAAGGGATACAATATATAGAGATGGAGTAACACTCTAATGACCTAATGGGCCCGGGCCCGTACTAAACCCTAATGTATAGAATATTAATAAAAAATAATAAATAATACTAATTAATAAATAATATAACTAATATATTATCATATCACATGGTATCAGAGTCACCGCTCTTGGTGACCTAAAAAAAAGTTCTTTGCTCCCGCCGCTGCCGGTAATTCTGGCGACGGCGGCCCCACCTATTCACCTCTATTTTCTTTTCTTTCTTTATCCTCAAATCAACTTCTCCACTCAAATGAAAAAAAGAGAAAAAAACCCTTGTTGAAATCACACAAAAAAAAACTATCAAATGAGGAACTTCTCTCTTGTCATCTCCATGGTTCTTCAAAAAAAATCCAACTCCTCACAAACTCTCTCAGATCATCCTATCTTCTCAAAAAAAAGGAAAAAAAAATGATTATTGTTTCTCTTAAATTCACCATATCAAAATCTCAGACCCAATTTTTTTTCCATCACCAATTCTTAACCTACTTTTTCTCTCTAAAATCACTCATCCTAATCATCAACCTCCCTTCTCTTTTTCTTCTGTTGAACTATTAAAAATCCAAAGTAAATCAGCACAAAAGCAAAGCCAAGAGGGGAAGTAGTGAAAGAAGAAATAAGACCTCTACAACTCACCCCTCCAAGAAGGAAATAAGGCATTGCCCGGATCCAAGAAAAACACAAAAAAATGTCAAGGATCTTCAGTCGAACAGGCACCTACAGTAGCTTTCTTTATTCTTCTTCAACGTCAGCAGCTACAAGCGCACGTCAACCTTCTCTCTTCTTCATCGACGTCAGCAGCTACTAGCGCACGTCAATTTCTCTCTTCTCTCTTCTCCAACGACGTCAGCAGCCACCGGCGCGCGTGAGACTTCTCTTTTCTCCAACGACGTTAGCAGCCACCAGCGCGTGGCACACTTCTCTCTTCTCCAACGACGTGAGCAGCCACTGGCGCATGTCAGACTTCTCTATTCTCAAAGTTTCCAGTTTCCAGCTAGTGTCCAAGCTTCCTCTTGCTTCAGCCAGAGTTCAGCTTGAGGGGGGATGTTAGACAATAATACTAATAACACTTCTTGTAGTATTGGTTATGGTAGTGTTTCATTATTAGTCAGTTTCCTAATTCTATTTGTGATAGATGTTGTATGTTAGTTAGTTTCCATTCTCTATTCCTAGTTGTGTTAGGAGTCTCTCTTATATATATACTCTATCATGTACTCCATAATTCAATGAGCAATATTAATTAATATCCCAATATTTCAACAGTCTATGGTGTTTTCTCAATCTCATCAAATTTTAAAAACTAGGAAATTGTTCCGATGCATAAAAATAGGAATTAATCCCCCAAATTGTGTACTTTAAAGGGCATACACGCAATTCGTTGGTCTTGTGATATTAATACTCATTAATCAAGTAACGAGGCAAAACCTTATGTAGGATACTCCCGTACAATATTATACTCCGTACCATATTACGAAGTGTAATACTCCCTCCGTCCCATGAAACATGGGGGTTTTCCTTTTTAGGAGGGATTTAAGGGGAGTGTATTTTGGTATTGAATTTCCAAAAATGTCTTTTGATGTGATAGGTAAAAGTATGATTTGATGGATAGATTATTAGTAAAAAGGTATGATGTACGTGATAATTAGGGTATGAAAAAGTAAGGGGTAAAAGTGACTTTTTAATAAAAATGAGAAGTGTTTTGTGAGACGGATAAAAAAAGAAAGGAGAAAGGTTTTATGGGACGGAGGGAGTATTAATTTATTAAATTATGGTACTGCATGTGCTGTCTAATAAAATTTATACAAATTCTTTTTTCTCTATTATCTAATCAAATGAACATGCGATTTTCAGGCTAGTTTTTTGAGATGTTGCACTCTTAATGCTACTCTCTCGTCCCAAATTGAGACTCCGGGTTTGACTTAACACCATGTTTAGAAAGAGTGAAAATGTATGGTTGAGAATATATATTTTTTGGAAAAAGATTTGTAATATCCAACTTTTTGGGATTTATGATTTAGCTTTAGATATGCACTGTAATGACCAATTAATTAATGCACTGTGATTTGAGTGACTTTAAATGTGATGAGAAAGCATGCATTAGAATGCATTGTATTCAAAACAAGTGTAATATACAGGCTTGAGAAATAGTTTGCCTATGCAGAATTCGAACTCACATCCGTAACATATATATATCGCTCTACCATTTGAGCTAATAGGCAACGATTAGTTATTTTTTTCATTGAGACTCTCATCTTGTACTTGGATCTCTTAAGAGCACATTTAAATGTATCACATTACATTTAAAATGCATCAACATTTGCTCAAAATTCATTATCTAGGATCTAGAGGATCTAGAGCTGCATCATTTTTGCGTCAGAGATGCATTCATTTTTATTGTGAGAATGCATGGTGACAAAATGCATTATACTTTACCTTGATTCTGTGCATTCTCTTCTCATGTTAATGTATACATAGATTCTGATAGTCCACAATAACTAGAAAAAACAAATAAAATGTAAAGAAAAAGAAAATAAATGAGTAATGTACACCCCAATGAACATTGAATTGTCTAATAACATTGTCAAGCCATACATTTTCTAACAGTATAATAAAAAAACAAACAAAAAGTTAAAAATGCATCATGCAAGTCCACAAGCAAAAAACACAATCAAAATTAGGCAAAAAATGAATTAGATGCACACATATATTTATATATAAAAAATTAGAAAAATGAACCATTAGATAAACAC